GGGGGGGGGGGGATGGGCGCGAGGGGGCGGGGTCTGGGGGGGGGGGGGGGGGGGGGGATAACCATATGTCCTCTACACTGTAAAAAAATTCGTAGAATAATAAACCCTAAAAGGGTTGATGAAAGTGTAACGTATAATAAACCCTTTTTAGGGTGTGGGTGTGGGTGTGGTTGTGGTTGTGGGTGTGGGTGGGTGTAGTGTTGGGTGTATGAAACAAATAGATTCACACCCACACCTACGCCCACACCCACACCTACACCCACACCCACACCTACACCCACACCCACACCTACATCCACTCCCCACACCCACACCCACACCCACACCCACATCCACACTCACACCCACACCCTATTTTTCATATTTTTTTCTTGACATAGAGAGTTAAAATTTTTATTACATATATATCTAATCAAGATCTTTTATTTATGAAAATTGTAGCTCTCTAGCTATAACTACTGGTGAACTACACCGACAAGATTGAAATACATAAATTTTGGTACTCGATTTTTGTGCTATTTTCACAAAATAATGCAAAAATCAAGTAATGAAACTTTTCTAATTCACCAGTAGTTATAACTAGAGTGCTGAAACTTTCATAAATAAAAGATCCTCATTAGATATATATGTGATAAAAATTTCAACTTTCTATGTCAAGAAAAAAGTATGAAAAATATCATTAACTCTTTGTCATCACTTATTGTAGGAGACTCGTATTGTTAGTCGACTTCAAAAAATGTATCATTATATTCCCATGGCTGTATTTTTATTATTACAAGAGAAGATGTCATTGAATTTTATGTCATTTGAAATGTCGTCATGAGTACTGAAATCTCATATAAAATACAGTCGTTTATGAGTTATTCTCTGTCTACAAATAAACTAATTTTGTCGCGCCTCAAAACGTATGAAACACCCTGTATATAGATCGATCAATGTTCTTGTTTAGAACCATTTTTACTAGCTTTATTTGAGATTGAATGGTGGCTGATAATCTTCCAACAACCAAAGAACAACACCAAGACTGATTGGATGAAATGGAAACTGGTCACATTGAGCGACCGTTATACTTAATAAATCAATGTCCAAGTCGTAACTTGGAATTTTTTACACTTTTGTTGCTAGGTTGCAAAACGAATTTGGCCGAGACAGTTAAAAAAAAGTTATGCTGCTCGATTAGTTTTGTGAAAAATTTTGAATGCCAGAATGAATGTGTTCAGTACATGGAGGCGGTTCAAGATGAGAAAATTATCCTAATCATTTTTGGAGAAATGAATACGAGTTGTATTCCATTAGTGTATAATTTAAAGCAATTAATTGCTGTTTACTTGTGTTTTCATGTCGAAGAGCCGAGCAAGTATTGTCTAGAAACTTATGACAAGGTATCCAAAATTTGCAAATAAAAGAACGATTACTATTTACTAATGCTACTTATTTAGATAAAAGGGTCTGTCACAACGATTGATGAACTAATTAAAAAAGTTTCCGATGATCAAGAGCAACGCGATAGATTAATTCGTCACCAAAATATAGGATTTACCATCTTTGATACAACACAAAACCAAGACAATAGTCATAAAAATGTATCTGAAGAACATGGTGATTTTGTATGGTTTCGAATATTTATTAGTTCCTTAGTAACGCTGCAACTGCCAGATTTGTTCATGGAGCAGGTTAACGATGATGGCAGCAAATCTTATGTTCGCGTCGTTAGCTACAATGAATTTACAAACTTATGCAGAGATTATTTTCATGACAACGAAAATGTGTCTTCAAAAATTGATGAATTCGAAAAAACATATGAATCATCTAAATCAATCTGGTGGTATACACGCGAACCATTCATTTATGCCATAATAAACAAAGCATTGAGATGTGGTTTTTTCGACGTTTTACTTGTGTATCATTTTCTTTTTCGTGATATACATCAACAACTACAAGAAGCACAAAGAAGTTTTAGCGAAAAAAATGTAAAAGTGTACCGAGGACAAGGGATGACTGAAGATGAGTTTAATAAAATAAAATCAAGCCAAGGAAAATCTATATGTATGAATAGTTTTCTTTCGACGAGCAAAGACCGACAAGTGGCATTGATGTTTACTCAATCGAGCGAGTCTAGTCTAAAAAGGGTTCAGTTTGAAATTGAAGCTGACACTCAATTAAAAGGAGCACAACCATTTGCTAACATCAGTTATATAAGTGCATTCGCCGAAGAAGAAGTATTATTCATGGCAGGATCGGTATTTAAGATTGGCGATATCAAATATGATGAACAGGAACGTTTGTGGCTAGTCAAATTGGTGTTGATAAGTTCAGATAATGATGAGCTACGTAGCATCTATGAATCGCTGAAAACTTACTATGATGGAGAAACAACACTGGTAATTATCGGAGAAATATTAAACAAATTGGGTGACTTTGAAACTGCTAAACATTGTTTTCAGAGATTAATACATTTTTTTGGACCTGAAAATACAGACATTCCCGGTATCAGTATAAGCTATGATTTTCTTGGGCAAATTGCATATCATGAAGAGAATTATGACCAAGCTCTTAAATATTATAACAAAGAGTTGGAGATTGAATTAAATCAAAAATACCTTGATTACCCATCCATCGGTGATATTTACAACAACATGGGCGTTTTGTACTATGATAAAGAAAATTATAGTGGTGCTCTCGAAAACTATGAACAAGCGCTTTCATATAGAATGAAAGCTGATGGAGATGAAAATTATGAAATTGCAAACATTTACAATAACATAGGAAACGTACATCGAATACAAGAAAAATACGATTTAGCTCTCCAGAATCTTCAACGTTGTTTAGAAATACGATCGAAAATTTATCCTGAAAATCATCCGGCCATAGCAGAAGTTTTAACAAATATTGGACTCGTTCATTATGACCAAGGACAATATGATTTAGCATTGTCCATCCATAAGAAGGTGTTGTTTATTGAATCAGCAGGCCTGCCGTCAAATGATGAAGCTTTAGGGAAAACATACATCGCAATCGGCGATAATTATTCTGTAGGCTTTCAAAATTACCAGTTAGCATTAGATAACTATCAAAAAGCTCTGAAAGTTTTTTCTCAAAGGTTTCGCTTAGAGCATTCATCGATTACTTATGTTGAAACAAAGATTCAAGAAACCAAGAAACAAATTAGTTCTCAATTATTGAATTCTGCACCTCCAGACGAAACAATGATTGCAACGTAGAAAATGAAGTCTGATGCAGAATATATCAGTCTCGATATTTTTCGAACATATGATTTTCCTTGTCACATTATTTCGTCACATTGACTTGGTCGTCTCATTTCTAATGGGCTCTCTTGAGGATGAGAGTGTAGAATGCGAGTGTGGGTGTAGGGGGGGGGATGAGTGGTGGTATGGGGTAGGTGGGTGTGCGTGTGAACAAAACCTGAACCGACACGCGCACCTCCTCCCCCCTCTCCCCCAGCCACCCCCACCGCCGC